TGAATTGAATTGAAAAAATTGAATACCTTATATGATTTATTTATTTATTATACCTAATATCTGACTATCTAATAGCTGATACCTCATACTCATTCCCAGAGGAAATCAGACTAATTCCCTTTTGCCTGATATTGCCTATAAACTAATATCATGAACAGAAAAAAGAAATTAAAAAATGTATACATTTATTTAAGGGCAACAAAGGACAAGGCCTGGAATTTAATTGCAGGAGTTTTTGGGAGTGGAAGGTACAACTTCGGGCTGGCAATCATCAATACACTACTGGACTCACACATCTAAACATTTAAGACAAAACTTACAATCTGAGAAGTTATCTTCTCCAGTGTGTTTATTCTACATCATTAATACAGTATATCATATGAAGTTACTATTACCTTATCAACCACATGCAAATTCAGGTTGTCTTGGCATACAGCGCTCTGAAGTGTCTCCCAGAGGAGAGGTTGGAGCAGGTCAGGCCTGACTCTGCACATTGTATAAGTCCTGAAAAGTGAGGCAGGTTGCAGTCCTGACTGATCCAAACCAGACACTGATGGATCTACAGACTGAATAATGGCAATGTAGAGCTGGATCAGTAGCTCCTTAGGTAGGTTGAGCTTCCTGAGCTGGAACAGAAAGTACATGCTCTGCTGCGCCTTCTTGATGATGGTGTCTGTGTTTGACTCCTCGAAACCTGAAGTGTTCCACAGCAGACACAGTGTTTTTAGGTATGGTGATGGGGGGGCTCCTCCTAAACTCCACAGTTCTGAGCGTGTTAAGCTCAAAGTTGTTCTGAAAACATCAGAGGACCAGCTGTTCAACCCCCCACCACTGTCCCGGATGAGGCCAATGGCTGTTGTGTCATCTGCAAACTTCAGGAGTTTGACAGGTCTGTTGAGGTGAAGTCATTTGTGTGGAGGAAGAAGAGCAGCAGGGAGAGCATGTGCCCCTGGTGGGTGCCAGTGCAGATTGCCCTGGTGCTGGATGTGATTGTTCCCAGCCTCAGCTGCTCCCTCCTGTCAGTCAGGAAGATTGTGATCCACAAATAGGATCCTTGTACATGGTCTCTGGTGGTTGATGCTGTTTTAAAGGCCTCTCCGATCTGATGTAAGGTTGTTAGTTAAAAACCTTTTTATCAACTTCCTCCTCTGCTGTTCTGACCTCCTTTGTCTCCTTTGTGCGTTTTTACCTGATTATGTTCCCACACCTCCTCCTTAGCCTGAGTGTTGCTGTAAACCAAGGTTTGTTGTACATGTCCTCACCTTATCAGTCAGATCCCACTTTCATGACAACTGACCTTTAATAATAATTAAATGTATAAGAAGCCAAATGAAAGAGGAATCATGAAAAGGGCATGAAGTAAAGAAAAAAGCAATATTCAGTCTGGTTATATGCAGACACGTGAGTATTTACATCTATGTTGAGAGGTGCCTAGTGCTCTATCAAAGCTGATAGAAAGTGAAACAAATAGAAAGGACACACAACACAAAAAGGAAAACAATAGAATTAACAGTGACAGCATCTCATTGAGTAAAATATATTGTCCTCTGATTCTCATAGCTAGAGAATGGTAAACAAGGATTTAAGAAGAATTAGATGATCTTTAAATTGGCACTATGCATAATGTTCTTTCATTCTGAGGGGTTTTGGCCTTTCAACAGAGTATGTTTTAGCTCTGATGGCAAATAACCTAGGACAGAGTTCTAGATTATGAAAAGTGATCCTTTATTGGACAGTCAAAGCAGGCCTGTGTATGGAATATGGAATATATTACATACTCTAATCATCACTTCACAGTAACATTTATATAAAGAGAACATTTTTCCATTCAGTTTTCACATTTCAAGGTAAAGTTTTCTCAATCATTTACTGACACTTTCTTGTTACACTTACACAGTATCTTTCTGACCAGTCAACATCTTATAACAGAACAGATGTTTATATGTTTTTCGTATTTTAGTCATTTGCAGTCCATACATGATAGGATTCAAAAGCGGCTGTATAATGAGAAAGTACAGTGAGAGAATGATTCGCAGCACACTGGGTACACTGCTCATATCAAATCTACTCTGAACTATTTCAAACACACAGCCAAAAGAAAAATTCAACAGAGAAACAAGGTGAGGTGTGCAGGTACTGAAAGCTTTCTGTCTGGTCTGTCGGCAACCAGAAAAACAGATTTTAAGAATTTTCATGTAAGAGAAAAGGATTGGGAGCAGAGGGACTAAAATGGTGAGGACAATCCCAAAAAGTCCATAAATGTTGTTCACTTTGGTGTCAGAACATGCCAACTTAACAACAAGGTAGTTATGACAATACAAACTGTTCATGACGTTTCCACAAAGCGGTAAACGGATGTTTAAGGATAAAGTAATCAAGAATTTAACAAAAGAGTACAGCCATATTACAGCAATAAACACAACCGCCTTGTTAAATGTCATACGTGTGTGATACTGCAGAGGACAACAGATAGCGAGATATCTGTCATAAGACATGACGGCTAAATTACAAAACTCTACGCTTCCATAAGAATACACACAGAAAATCTGCAGGAAACAAAATGAAGCAGGAACAGTGTGAATGTCAGAGAGAATCTGAACCAGAAGCATTGGAAACAACCCTGTACTACCATACAGTTCATTTACAAACCAGGCTGCACAGAAATATGTACATAGGTTCATGTAAGCTTCTGTTCATACAGATAATCACAATGAGAGATGTGTTGACAACAACAATAACAATGTAAAGCAAAGCGGTTATCATAAAACAAAAGTATCTTAATTTTCCAACATGCAAATAAGCTCCAAGAATAAAATAAGATAAAGATGATAATGTTGAATTTGACATCATTTTTGGTTTATAAGAAAAAACAACTAATGTCAGCAAATATTTAAAATGTATGTTCTCATTCTATAACAAATCAATAACTACCTTATAAGCCATCACTTTGAAAAACAATATTTTTAAAAAGGAAGTGTAAAGATTTCTAACAATATATTCAGTTATCACATACAGCCTAAACTTACCCAGCCATTAAACTGCCCACCCTTATCCTCATAGGGGGTTTACCTCAGTGCACACTGGCTGCTCACAGTCTAACTGTCGGCAGCAGCAACATGTGCTGTTTTTTATCCCAACAGGCCAGTACCACGTCATCTGAAGGGAAACATTTGTCTTTGGTTATGTTGCTAACAGCTTTTTGTCACAACAATCAACGTTGCCAGTAGGCATTTTCTGGCTTTAAGGGTCACAAACCAAAAAGAGTTGGGAACAAATTATAAAAAATTGGTTTTATATTCACTTCATTTGTGAAAATTCTAGGAAACCCTATCGCTCACAATATAAAGGCAGACATAAAAGATAAATATTTTAAAGTGTCAAGTTAAAATATCCTGTGGTAGTGTATCACAAAGAAACTAAAAGGACCAAGAAAAGATCCTTGAGGTACACCAGCAACCAACAGCCAGTTTTTATTTGACAAAACTGGAGTCTAACTCTCAACTCATCAAATGCTAATTTTGAACAGTGGCCCTCCGCTTCAAAATGTGATGGTGTAGGCCAGGGGTCATCAACTACATTTGGGGCGAGAATTTTTCTCTGCAGGCACTATGACGGCCAGATACTCGTAAGATTAAATAAAATTAGTATTGTATAAGTAATATGTTATTATTTGATTGTTATTTTTTAGCCTCCATCAGTGTTAACAGACTCATATTACCTGTACTGCAGCAAGCCACCAGGGGGGCGATAGCGATATTTTAGGCTTCATATTTGTGAGGCTGTCAAGCTGTCCATCACTGTCATATGCAGTGATGGACAGTAGTAGTTTGTGGAGAACACTCGCAGGAGACAGGCCTTCTAAATATGTCTCAAGCATGAAAAATGGAACTCTTGAAGAGACTTAAGCGGAAAGGTGATGCAGAGAACCACAGCTTTGATGAATAATGGAATGATAAGTATGTATTCATTATATATTAATATGCTCATTGTCCCCCATCATTGCTGTTGTCGTCGTCCTCATCTTTTTCATGAGTCACTACTATTAGTGTAGTTCTTGCTACTGTTGTTGCTGTACATCTGTCTGTCTGTCTCTCTGTCTCTCTCTCTCTCTCTCTCTCTTCTCTCTCTCTCTCTCTCTCTCTCTTCTCTCTCTCTCTCTCTTCTCTCTCTCTTCCTCTCTCTCTCTCTCTCTCTCTATCTCTCACCCCAACTGGTCCAAGGCAGACGACCACCCACCTAGAGACCGAAAGGGTCTGTCCTAGGTTTCTGCCTTTAACAGGCAGGTTTTTTCCATCATCATTTTTCCATGGTGGTACTGTTGGGTCTCTGTAAATGTTATAAGGAGTTCGGTCTAGACCTGCTCTATTTGAAAAGTGTCCTGAGATAACTTCTGTTATGAATTGGCGTTATACAGATAAAAATGAATTGAAAAATTGAATTGAATTGAATTGAAAAATAGTGCCAACTTTTAGAAATGCTGTACCTGTGTGCCTCATTTGCAACGAAACTGTCGCTGTCGCTAAAGAATATAATCTGATCAAGGACGATTTTGACATTTGTGAAAAACGACTATTGATAAAATGAGATGTGAAACAATAAAAGATGTTAAACGAGAGCAACGAGTTTATCGTCATTTTTGATTGAAGGCAGGCTATGGCACAAGCTACTTTTCAGAGGGCGTTTCTTTCATTTGATTTAAAAATAAATAAATATAGAAACATACTTTTTCCTCTTCACTAGGCTGTTCCTGAATTCAGTAATATTCTGGTGGGCTAGACGTGGCCCACGGGCCACCAGTTGACATTCACTGGTGTAGGTGAACATCTAGTGCCATTTCTGGATGTGCCTACTATCAGAGTCAAGTGGTGTAGTATAAAGAGTGAGAAAGTCAGCATACGGAGGTGGTGGGTTGTATGGATGGCCTTAAACAAACACAGGACCAAACCAGGAGTGAAACCCAGAGTAAACCATTTCTTTTTTAATTAACAAACCTTTTAATTAGTTAACTTACATTAAAATACTTAAGTATTTGAAAAAAAACTAAACTCCTGTACTGTACTGTATCGTACCTGGCGTAACTTAACATACATTTATTTTCAAAGTCTAACTGGACGTTGCATATTTATTCTTGCTAACTTAACCACAGAGCCCTGCACATCCAGAAATGACAGAAGAGGGTTAACTACATTGACATATTTTGAAGTGGAGGGTCACTGACCAAGTGGGCGTGAGAACATATTGCTGAAGCAGATAGGTGACTAAAGAATGTCATAGAAAGCCACTGATTAAACAAAGTCTATGTTTGCAAGCTATCAATTTGTTCGTATTTGCCCGAAGCGGAAAGAGAAGGTACTCTGGAATTTAAACGTCACATTCATGTGGATTTTCACTGAAAATCTGACCATCATGTACAGGCAGCAGAGGAACAAAGCTACGCTACAACCCGTTCACTCACTCATTGGCAATAAAAAGTGATTAATACATAAAAATAATATGAAAAAAAACTTCAGAATCCTACATATTAGCACCTCTACAGAATTAGGATGTTATAATAAACATAGTTTAACTGACCAGTAGAACTGATATTTTCTAAAGTTTGACACAATGCCAGTATGTCTGACCATCCTGAAGTGTGTTGTCACACAGCGGTCTGAGGGGAGGTCATTATCGTCCTCAGGCCTCAGTGGACCAGTGAAACCAGTGCTGAGGTCTACTCTGACTGATTGGTCTTGCTGATTAACAGCTCATATTCTAATTTGCTTCAGAGGGAATTAGTGGAAACTGTGTGTAATGTGATGATTCCACAGGGACAAACCTGTTGACAGGCTGAAATGACCTTTGACCTAAGGGATTTATTAAATGAGCTGTATGCTGCCCCCGCACCCCCCAATCTCTCTTCACACAGGACAAAGCAGCCTTTAATTACAGAAGAGAATAAAGTTAATTCGTACAAAAGTTTTTATTTATGAGCATTACTTTGTATTGTTTTATATTAACAAATGACTGTGTGTAAAGTTAAAGGAGTAGCCTCTGTTAGGTCCTGTTTAGGTTTTATGGCACATTTACTGTTTATTTCTACTTACCAACAGTGCAGAGTCAGCTCTTGTGCTCCAGCTAATGTCAAGTCTGGTTAAGATACTGCTTTCTCTATATTTATGGAAAATTCCGTATTGTAATTTTTCTAACCAATATTGTGGTTATTATTATTACTCCCAACTCATCAAATGCTGATGTTGAGCAGTGGCCCTCCGCTACAAAATGTGATGGTAGTGATAGGTGACCCTCTAGTGCCATTTCTGGATGTGCCTAAAATAAATCACTAATACATCCTACGTCCTTTTTTTATATTTATATTCACTGAATTGGGACAAAAGTTTGCCACAGTGTAACCTTCTGTCTATTCAGAGCGCAGGACAGAAGTCAGTGCTGTATACAGGTCAGAGGTCAATGCTGCTTACAGGTCAGAGGTCAGTGCTGTAGATAAATGGCATAAGTAAGTGCTGTGTACACAGGCCATAGGTCAGTGTTGTAGATACATGGCATAGGTAAGTGTTGTGGACACAGGACATAGTGCTGTAGATACATGGCATAGGTAAATGCTATGGACACAGGTCAGAGGTCAGTGCTGTAGATACATGGCATAGGTAAATACTGTGGACACAGGGCATAGGTCAGTGCTGTAGATACAGTGGCTGTGGTCCTCCATTTGCTTTTCAGAGTGTAAATAAATTGACTAAATGTGTTTAATCACACCTCCGTTTCATAGTCTTCCACATAATCTATTTTATTTGACCAATTATTTAATAACCTTTGCAGTAGGAGGTTTTGCCTAATTACTTGCACTCCAGTAAAAGAAATTCAGATGTCTATCTGACAGTGCTGTAGCTAAATTTAAGGAGGAGATTCCATCAGTGTTTAATTCAATGCCAACAGAGTCTTATAACAACTTTAGTCCCTCCGAAATTGATAATCTTGTTAATAGTGCTTCAGGCTCACGTCAAACAACATTCGACTCTATTGCCCCTCCTAAAAAAGAAGATATTAAAACATAAGGAGGCACGGGCATGCCGTGAATATCATGAGATTCGAGCTGAGGTGAGATCAAACATGGCGGCGCACAGTTGATGGCAAACGCAACAGGACGAGATCAATACTTTGTGATTTAAAACCTTTTTCCCGGTCTAAAACAAATGAGCATTGTATCGACTACCATATATTCTATACGAACCACAATTCAACTGCACTCTGGAGGATTTAACGGACTTGGAGGCCTTTATTGACGACTACTATCACCACCATCATCCAACCATGGATAATACCGACGTACTCAAACTAGATTCCAAGAGAAGAAAGAAAGACTCTGCAACGAACACAGATGATCTGCACACCACCGAAGTTGAGGTTAGTGTGCTGGCAAGCATCAACAAAAAACTGGATATGCTGGTCATGATACACGAGGAGTTAAACGACATGCGAAAAAGTCTTGAATTTGCTCACAATCAAATCGAAACACTACAACAATCAAATCAGGAGCTCCAAACTTCAGTAACAACACTCACCCAGCAAATGCAAAACGTCACCGCCGAAAACAAACAGATGAAAGAAACAATTCTAGACATCCAAACACGCTCGATGCGCGATAACCTCATCTTCTCAGGCATTCCAGAAACATCACCCGATAATCCAGAGTTGCAGATTCAAAACTTCATGCAATCCCAACTCAAATTACCCGCTGACGTCATTCAAAATATTACTTTCCACCGAGTTCATCATCTCGGCAAACAACAGCAGGACAAAACCAGGCCCATCATCGCAAATTTGAACACTATCAACAAAAAGAAAAGGAA